CAGGCTCCGTGCCATGCTATAGCACAGTTCCCACTATCACCGTCATTATCCTTATCTTTAGTTGAGAATTTACTACGGTAACCATTGTGATAATTCATACTGTCACCTTAAACAGAAATTAGATAAAACCATAATCTATGATATAATAAAGCAATAGTCATTGCATTGTTACCTCCAGCTTAATCACCTTTGTCTAGGATTTAAGAAAACATTGTACATGAATAATGTAAAAATAACGAACAAATACATGTTGTATGTAATATATATTGTACGACGCATACTACATTTTTAAGTTAAAGCTTGTATCAAATCATTTGAAACTAGTGCTAATTGTAACGGGGACCGTTACAGATGTTCCCCAAACGCTCCCCAACTTCCTTTTGGTGCCACATTCCCTGCAAGCTTCATTAAATAAGACAAATTTTATGCATTTCAGGCTTTAACAACATTTACCCAGGAGAAAGTACCAAGTTCATTCAAATTTTAGAATTCCACGCGTGCGCATGTGAATGCATGTGCGTAATGACCATATCATCTTGTCTATACAATCTATATATATTTTAATATACTAAATATTAAAGTAATTAATCTAAAAGTATTGAAAAAAAATACTCTCATTAAACTGTATTTTTGATTTTACCCATTTCACGTGCACGCACGTGCATACATGAGCATGGTGACCATACCTTCTTGTAGAAGTCCATTACATCTATTTATGTTCTAAATCCGACCCTAGCTGTTTGGTTGAAAACCAAGGGAGTTATAGCTGTTTAAAGTTTCAGCCAATCAGATTGCAGTGCACCTACACGCACGTGTATGTATGTGCAGGGTGACCATACCTTCTTGTAGAGTCCATTATATCTATCTATGTTCCATAATCCCATCCTGTTTGGTTGAAAACCAAGGGAGTTATAGCTATTTAAAGCATAAGCCAATCAGATTGCAGCGCATGTGCATCCACGCATTTTCATGATAATTGCTATATATTTTATTGTAGGATATCCTAATACATGCCTATGTTTAAAATTTCAAAGGATTTCGTCAAAAACAAGAAAGATATTGAGACTTTAGTTTCAGCCAATCAGAGCGAAGCGCACGTGCATGCGCGTGAGATCTTGCTTTTTTGACCATGTCATCTTGTCTATGCTTCTAATATATACTTATAATATGAGTTTCAAAGCATTTCATCAATAATTTAAATAGTTACGTCTGTATCAATTATGTTGGACATTTCTCATGTTGCACATGCGAGCTCATGCAAGCACACATGCATGCACATGCTTTCATGGTAATTCTTATATTACAGGCTGTAGATCTCCCTAATGTATGACTATGTTCAAAATTTCAAATGATTTTATCTAAAAACAAGAAAGATATTGAGACTTTAGTTTCAGCCAATCAGAGATAGCGCACGTGCATGCGCGTGCGATCTTGCTATTTTGACCATGTCATCTTGTGCATACTACTAATATATCCTTACATTATGAGTTTCAAATCATTTTGTTAGAAAAATAGAAAAGTTACGGTTTTATCCATTATATATTGGTCATTTCAAGTTTTGCACGTGCGCGCTCTTGCAAGCACGTGCGCGCAAAATGACCTTGATTCCGCAAATCTACATAACATGTCCTCTGACCCTAAAAACATTTCACCTAAATCGGATGTATAGTTTACAAGATCATTCGCGGACAAAATTTTCCCGAGAAGAAAAATAATAATAACTAGATACGATCTCGTTGCGAGCAACGAGAGGTCTTCCGTCCGTTTAGGAAAAGAAACCCACATAATATCGAGCTGAAAAGAGATTCAAAATTTTGGTCACAAGGAGGATTGAAACCATGTCGCCAACGTGAATGCGCTTTTTTTTTATATCCCCAACGCGCTAACCATTAAGCTATTGGGAGTACTGCTCTAAATATACTTGTGTATACCACGGTACTTTTGCAACAGTTCACCTGTCTAAGAATTATAAAAAGCATTCATAATTTCGCGCCAAACGCCACGAGTAAATATTTGCGCCTTTTCTTTGGACTGATCTATTAGATAGGTATGATAGCATCAATTAAATTTTAAAAATAAAACATTCTTAGCGCCTTTATTTCATTTTGACGTTAAGAAAGTATATGTAACACATCATACACATTACATATCGTATCTAGCCCAGCTACACTGAAGCAGTGAAACGGAAATTAAGTTTTAAGATTGACACTCAATTGCAACGTACTACTGTAACGTGTCGGATCTGAGCGGTCAGTAGGTCCGTGCTCGGATTACCGAGTTTTACTGGGGATATGATTGAATGCAATATATACAGATAATAATATGACACCTGCCTGGTGTCTTTAAATCAAATGACCTAAGTGCTTTGTATAATTATATATCTTCAGTTAATACCGGCACCTGCCTGGTGCCATATGATAATTGCCTCACTATACTCGTAAAACTGACTATATAAGTCAACATCTATCTGCCTGGTGCCTCTTGATTTAGCCTTTAACATCTGCCTGGTGTATAACTGCTTACCAAGTTGCCTATATAACTCTAGCCAAGTGGCTACAATATACTTTCACAGTATGATTTAACTTTGTAAGAGCTTCTCTGTCCTAATGACAAACCTATAGCTAATGACACACAGCTACATTTTAACTAGTCACTGACTAGGGCAACTTTGCACAATCCTATTTGATCGATAAACCAATTGGTTTCTGTACCAAAGTGAAGACACAAGCCAGTTGGCTGTACTGCCCCCGTGTACCTCAACTTAATCAATGATCATAAGTTATCAGATATCATATTGATAAAATAAAACAGACTGTCTTTCTTTTGGCAACACCATTATTATTTTCTAACAGAACATCATTTATCAATAATACTCGTTTAATTCTTTAGTCAATTGACCAATTAATTACAATATTTACATTGATTATCTATTATGATATAAACAAGTAACGGGAGGTAACTCCTCCAACCATTTAATACTACGTGAGAGTCGAAGTAGTTTTTTACATTTCATGTATCCTTATGTCAGAATGGTTTAATCAAACGCTCAGCTGCCCCCATAAACCCCTACTCGCGAAATGGCGGAGTTGACAGAGACAGCCGCCATTTTAGACCCGCTTCAGATTTTTGAATGCAAATATGTAGACTTTAGATTTATCAACATTCAAACAAATTAAATAGTAAGCATTATAAGGAGGGCTTCTATTACCATACCAAATAAAAATGAAAAATACTGAAAAACAAAAAAGTTAGAAAATACGATTTTTTAAAATTTGCATCTCGTAACGACCGGAAGTACTGACGACGCACGAAAAGGCGATTCTGCAATCCACAAAGTCATGGTCTATCATCTCCAATAAGTCTCCAGTTCATATCCTTAGCCATTTTCGATAAAAGTGCGCGACAAAATCGCATTTTAAAATCAGGAAATTGTCCATAACTTGGCACCAGAAGCGAGTTTTCCAAATTACTCTTCGGATGTAACAACTTCATATAATGGCGCATATTTTGTGAAAGTTTCATGAAAAACCACTGAATAGATTTCGAGAAATCGCCTGCACAAAATTTTGTCAAAAAAGAATAATAATAAGAATAATAATAATAAGAAACAATAGAATCACTATAAGGTCTTCCGTGAAGACGGAAGACCTTAATAAGAAACTAGAAAAGAAACTCGTTGCGAGCAACGAGAGGTCTTCCGTCCGATTCAGAAAAAAAGTAAAATCAAACTGAAAAAGTTACTTTAAAAATCGGAAACATGGGGGATCGAACCCGGGTTGCCAGCGTGAAAATCCATTGCGGTACCCATTACACCTTTGGGAACCCGCTTCAAATTAACATTCGAATATCGCGAGATTGTTTTCTCATTCCAACATACATTACATTATTTTAAAATTCAGTTTGGAATTATAACACGAGAGCTAGCTTGCCAAACTTTGATCAAGATGATCACATCGGAATTTGTTACTTGAGTTTAAACAGTATTTTTTAGGATAGATAATCTATTAATAATGAACAGATGATACAGTTTTCTTTCCTTTTTTCGATATGTATTCAACTTTTTATCCCATGCAACTCCATATACAGACATGCCAAATATTATATATTTCTGCACTATTGTCGCCATTTGTCTACTACTAAGTCGGGTCATGATGCATTAATTCGTGTCAAACGTCACAAGTAGTTCTTAACGCTATTCCTTTGAAATGTTTGATTTATTTAATAGATGTGATAGCTTCAATGACAATTAGAAATGTATGTTCTTATAACCAGAATTTCGAGCGTTAGAAAGTATGAGAATATTTATCACATTATACAAATATAATATCGTATAGGGCCAAGTAACACCAAAGCAGTGAATTCGGTAAGATTTTTCACGAATTTAGTTACCTGTTTACCCCCAAAGTGGTGATGAGTTACTTGTTTATGAAAAGACTGGAATGTTTCACTGAAAAAAAAAAATCACTCGTCCTCCGACGGTCAAGGAATCTGATACTATTTATGTCAATAACTTGCATTTATTACAAGAATATTCATATAACCTTTAATAAACAATCTTTTAAAAATGTTTTTCTTATTTTTGTCTTTTCTATTCATTGAATATATCACAAGCCTGCGTAAAGAAAAATAAACAGAAGTCAAGTCATACTTCAGAAACATACATGTAGTTAATATTAAGTCAGGCAAGTTTCTTGAAAAGTATTATAACCATGGTTTAGGATAAGTTTTCCCTGGTGCAAAATAAAAGACTGAAGTCATTGTACTTCCACTTGTAGTCAAGTTGTATTCTAACTTTGAGATGCAGACAAAAGCGATTTCAATAGAAGTTTGAGGAAACCTCATGTTAAAAGTATACTCAATGCAACGTAATTGCGATGTAGCAATCAAAAGAATCCTTTACATTTCATAAATCTTTTTGGTAGAAGTTTCGTTCATCTAAACGCTCAGCTGACCTTCTAGAACCCGACTTGCTTAATGGCGGAGTTTACCGAGACCACCACCATCTTGGACACGCTTCAGATTTTTAAATGCGAATATCTAGTGTGTGGATTGATCAATTCATAGAAAAATTATATATTTGGCTTTTCCAGTAGGGTCTTTATTATC